GTATGGATGGTGTCTATCAGTCAGGGTTCTCCAGAGAAACAGAGCCAAAAGGACTCACATTTATGCAGTAGGAGATTTATGTTAAGGAATTGGCTCACATGACTGTGAAGGTTTCATGAGTCCAAAATCTGATTGAGGACTCTGGGAGGCTTGAGACTCAGGGAAAAAGTTACAGTTCTGGACCAAACGCAGTCTGCTGGAAAACCAGCAAGAGCCAATATTGCAGGAAAGTCCAAAGGCAATCTCCTTAAGGATCACCTCTTGCTCGGGGGAGTCAGCCTTTTGTTCTATTCTGGCCTTCGATTGATTGGATAAAGCAATATGCTTTGCTTAAAGACAGTGATTGAAATGTAAATCTCATCCAAAAATGCCTTCACAGAAACATCCAGAATATTGTTTGGCCAAATTATCCGGGCACTGTGGCCCAGCCAAGCTGACACATAAAATTATTATAGTGTACCTGTGATAAATCACCCTCATCTTACTTACTTTATACAAATATACCTTCTATATAGATTTCAGTACAATAGCAAAATTCATAATAGTCATTAGTGGTATGGAAGGAAATCCCCTTAAGAGTACAACAGCCTTCATTCTTGGTTATCCTCAGAAAAAGAATAGAACATTTTTTGTGTACTTGGGACGGCATGAGCTATTATCTGCTGCAGTCTGAAGTAATTCTCCTTCGCACTAGATAGGAGGATGGGGTAAAATTACATACAATTGCCAGAGCCTCTGTATAACGGAAGAGTAAGGATTAACACAGAGAATGTCTTTCCTAAAACAAAACTACAGCCTGATATGTACCTTTGCATTTCCAAATGAAGCAAAAATTTCACTCCAACAAGTCTCTGATGCACAATTTTAATAATTAAGTTATAGTTAAGACCAGTCCTTCATGTTCTTGACAATGCTCAAACCAGGTTTTTTACCAAACTTCATAGTCAATGGAATAGAATGGAATTGATAGGCCTAAAAGAATAAATATCTTCAAATGACCTTTGTGCTTATCATATACAGAGAATTATTGAGCTAGGAAAGCTCTTCCCTTAAAAAAATGCTTATTATGTGTTTAGAGGACCTATGAAAAGTCATTCCGCAAATGTACATAAAATTTGAAAGTGTTACAGTAACACATTGTAAAACCATTTTAGAAAATACTACAGTTTTCTCAAAATTTATAATCAACTTAGAGATTATAAAAATACTTTATAATCCTACATTACTAAAAATGGCCTCCATAAAGGCAGGGTTTCCATTTCTGGTACATTCCTGCAGCCCTCATGGGATCTGATGCATTCATGCTCTGGTTGCTTAGTAAAAACCATGGAGGATCATTAGTTCATCAAATGAGCCTCTGACTAATTTTCCATATTAAATAAGATACATTTTCCAATACCTGTAAGTATCGTCAACATTATTACCCCACACATTGACTTATGACTTCTGTTTTGCCAGTGAAGAATTCTAGTGTTGGGGTACCTGGGTGGCTCAGTTGGTTAAGTGTCTGCCTTTGGCTCAGGTCATGATCCCAGGGTCCTGGGATCGAGCCCCATGTCGGGCTCCCTGCTCAATAGGGAGCCTGCTTCTCCCTCTCCCTCTGCTCTTCCCTCTTGCTTGTGCTTGTTCTCTCTCTCTCTCTCTTTCTCTCTGTAAAAATAAGTACATAAAATCTAAAAAAATTCTAGTGTTCAGTTATAGTCTTTGCATTCCAAAAACAACATGGGCTTTTCAATTAAAAAAAAAAAATGCCTGAAGTTTGTATTGCAATTTGACTTACATCAACATGCCTGAAAACTTTCCCACATTTTAACTCAGTAATACTGTTAAATACTAGCCTACGAATATAACGTGGGTTTCTTAAATTCCACCCATGAATGAAATCATATGGCATTTGTTTTTCTCTGACTGACTTATTTCATTCAGCATAATACTCTCTAGCTCCATCCATGTCGTTGCAAATGGCAAGATTTCATTCTTTTTGATGGCTGAGTAATATTCCATTTGTGTGGCTGTGTGTGTGTGTGTGTGTGTGTGTGTGTGTGTGTGTGTGTGTGAGCACGTGCGCGCACCTCTTTTTTATCCATTTGTCAGTCGATGGACGTTTGGGTTCTTTACATAATTTGGCTTTTGCGGAAAAAACAAATGATCATAGGAAGGAAACAAGAGAGAGGAAAACCAAGAAACAGACTCTTAACTATAGAAAACAAATTGAGGATTACCAGATGGGTGGTGGGGGGACAGGTTAAATAGGTGAAGGGGATTAAGGAGGGCACTTGTGATGAGCACCGGATATTGTATGTTAAGTGCTGAATCACTAAACTGTACACCCGAAATGAATATTACAGTGTATGCTAACTAACTGGAATTTAAAAAAAAATTTTTTTAAAGAATATAATGTGGGAATGGGGGAAGTTTTATGAACAAATTTACTCACTCCAGCATTGTTTATAAAGGTATTTTTTCTTTTAGATGTGGGTGTATAATCAAAAGTTGAAGAACATCTGTTTTATAACTGATCTGAGACAAATGTAACCAACCAAAAATGGAGGAATAGTTAAGTGAATGATGTATCTATTAATACAACCATAAAAATTTATGTTCACAAAGACTTCATAATGGAGTGTTAAATTACCTACAAAAAGGAAAGAAAATGCATTATGCAGTAGTTGCATATAATTATATAATCTAAATATTTAAAGTCTATTAATAAAAAATAGTCACATGGGGGAAAACATCAAAATAAATTCTGCAAAAACTTTCACTTTATTTCTATTTCTACATATTTTCTACATTGGATCCAGTCTTATATGTATTGCTCTTAAAATGGAGGAAAAATATGATTTTATTAAGGGAGATGGAGGGAGAAAAAGAACAAGCTGAGGTTTGGGGTGGGGGGAAGTTTGCATGAAGCTAAAGGATGCATAAGCCCCCACTCAAGGGCTCAAGGCTGTTGGTAAAGATGATGGCATTCAATATTCCTTGCCAAATGTTATTCTCAAGTGGAACTGGTATTTGTCCTTTACGCTCCCTCTGAGCTTGGTATTGAGAAATGGCAATAAAAAAGAGGTGTTTTCCTATTGCTTTCACTCTACTCGGCAAATGCTCTTTCTCTCCCTGACTCAACCATCTCCAAACCACAGGTTGCCACTACCTGTGGCCTGTTTGGGGACAAGGATACACGCGGTAGCTGAAGACTGCAAACATGCTTATCCCCAGGCTCTGGAAAGAGTTCGGACTACCCCACTTATGACATCACCCTGCAGGAGTCCTTTGTCAGGTGCCGGTTAAATACATACCCAGTGGCTGGAGAAAAACTTTCCCTGAATCTGGGGCAGACAGCATAAAGTATCACTTCGGGTTCTCTGTCAACCACAGAAATCAAACATGGCTACCTTAGTCAAACTAAACTTGATTGGAAAGGGAGTCCTTTACAAAGGAAAAACTAATCATGTCTCCTGATCAAGATAGCACTGAATTTTCCATCAGAACCTCATGAAAAATCCCTTTTCTGAGAGCTGCCATCTGAATGACTCAGCTTCCATGTCCAAATTGGAGTCATTCCACTCATGATTAAAATTCTTGGGGAGAAACTATAAGAGGATTGCCTTGGACCATGTGTTGATTCCTTTGGCCAGAAGAAATCCCCACCAGGATCTCACGGAGTAGAAGGAAGTTATTGCCCAATGGTAAGACGTTTGTTGGGGCTTGCCCTAGATGGTCCCAGTTTATATCTGTTTTTCAGGAATAACTCTAAATAGCTTCATTTTCACTCAGGGAAGTGTCCAAGTTTAAATAATAAATTACACGATCACTCCACACAAAGGAAAAAATAGGGCACTGTTACCGAAGAGTGGGGAGTGGTGCTGAGCAGATGAAAATAGAAGGAAACTATTAGAAGGAACTGAAGCAAAGTGTTTGCTCCCAATCTCTCAGGTCAAAAGATAAGAATCAGAGTCAAAAACCCTTATCAGTCTTTTGCTTCTGACTCCAACATAAAATTTACATTCCTTTACTCACTCCTTGTGTGTTATTATGACTTTAAACCAATAGTTCCATCTGCTTGTCTTCCTATGTCCTTGCAGCTAAATCCCTAAGTGTTCAAGTGTTCTCTTTTGCTGCTGCTTTTTTTAGCTTAATTGATGCCCTCCTGCTTTCCAAAATAGAATACTAACATCCATTCACCCAGCCAGAGGAGGGTCACGGTGATACCAGATCCAATATTCCCCAAAGCATGTGTAAAATTGTTGCTGCGTCCCTGCTGCTGACTAATAATAAGGAGTCAAAAAGCACCTATGATTCCGATTTCCTCCAAGAGGCTGTTCTACAAGCATGGGGTCAACTTAAAGGAAAAGGGTTTTTGTTTAATATTTTCTCCTTTCATTAGTGCACTTAAATTACTTTCTTGCAAACTCTGCTTGTTACCTAAATGTACTAGCACTTTTGTTACCTAATTAGCTTTCTTATCAGAATTCCAACCAAAAATAACAAGAAATGTAATAATGATAAGGTATCCTGCCCCCTCAAAACAGATTTCCTTTCGCGCTTTATCTCTCGGTGCTGTTCTGGCTTGTTTAATTAAAGTATCAGAAATTATTAGAATCAAATTATTTCTTGATCTAGTGCTCAAATTCTCCTGAAAAACTGCTTCTTTTGCCTCAGTATTTAAACCTTTATCAGTGTGAGGCAGATGAGTTTCCACATGTATGCAACAGGATTCATGTAATACAATATAAGTTTGGAGGAAGAGCCTAACTAGCCTCTAAATAATTAGACAAACAAATCAGATTTGGCTACACTGGGCTACCGTGAACATTTAAATACTTGGGTCTCCTCTCCTGTGCTCCCCCACGTTAATGTGCAAAAAACCTTATGAAACTTTAGCATGGAGTTGTGAAATTCAAAGCAAAGATCTTACTTATTTTTTCATTAGAAGGGTGGGAGTAAAAAAATCACCAAGTTCAAAACACTGACATAAGTTGCATTCAAGGAGGGTAGTCATGCCTGTTACAGACTTTAAAACAATGGATGAGCGAGTATCCTTACATCACAGCCCTGAGAAGGAGAAAACTCTAAGACATACTGGTTATTTTGCTTCGGCATGCGCCGTGAAAAAAATTCGGGTTGGAATCTGCTTGCTTCTGGTGGAGATGTGTGAGAGGTTCACTTTCTTTGAAGTCGTCTGCAATATGATCCCCTTTTGCACTGTCAAGCTTGGCTATCCCAATTACCAGGCAGCAATTTTGAACTTGTGTTTTATTGGAACTTCAATACTTAGCCCTATGTTTGTGGGATGGCTTGCTGATGTCTGTCTAGGAAGAAACAAACTGGTATATGCTTGCTTGTGTCTACATTTTCTAGGTGAGTGACCTCTTCTGACTGGATCGTTTTGCAACTTAATTGAATAGATTTTTGTTAGAGTTTTTACTCTCTCTTATCCTAATCTTGCTCTTAGTGTAAAATGTGTTAAATGAAGTAAGAATGTTGTTTCAATTTACTTTGTTCTCTGTATCATTTGAAGGACGCTAGTAAACGTATGTGCATATGTGTGTGTGTGGATGCTTTGGATGCTTTGATGCCTATATTGTTGTACTGATTGTATTTTATGGTAATTAGCTCTTTACATACCTGTCTTCTGTACTCCTTCAAACACCCTCCTTTTCCCCCTTCCTACCCCAAGCCCAAATTCATGACAAATTCTATGTGAAACATGAAGTTCATTTGCTTCACAACTAAGATGAAATGTGCTAAAAAGGTTTTTGAAGTTCAGGTAGAATAATTGAAGAATGTTTTCATCAAAAGGTGGTTTTTAATTAGTCATAGAGTAAGACTGCATATGGAGGTGTGATTTCTATATTATGAACTATGGCTACATGCTAAATAAATGAGTGAATCCAAATGTTACACTAAACTTCTTTACATAGAGAAAAATAAATGTATCTACAAAACTTTGGGAGTGAAGTGATCCTGGGAAATGTTGGGGAAATATCAAGATTGTTTGATAAGGTATGGAAAGTAAGTTGATGAACAGTTTAGAATTTGGGGCTAAAAAGTTCAAGTTGTTCTTCTGGACAACAAGGAGTCACTGAAGATATGATGAAAAACATCTGGCAAATGTTTTTCTTCAATAAACAGGATAGGAAACCACAGTGAGAGGTTAAATAGAGGGAGACCAGAACATCTCAGGAGGACGGTCTAGGAGAAGTGTCAATCCAGGACAGACCATGTGGAAAACCATAAAAACTTGGCAACTAAACAAGAGCACAAATATGATGGAGGAACAAAAATTAACTCCAAGTTTCTGAGCTGAGGAACTTAGGAAGCTAGTATGTGGTTCACTGATACTGTGAAATGTAACAGAAATGCAGGTTTGGGGGGACAGGGGAGGAGATAAATGAGGAAGGGGTGGATATCGGGTATTCAACATATCCCCCAATTTCAGACAGGTGATAAATTACCATTCACCCTTCATCAGTTAGAGTGTGATTCAAACTTATAACTCTTTACTGCGTCAGCTTTGTTAAGTAAAAATGAAGTTACTGCATGGCAAATATTCAGTCAACATTCAACAAATATTCTTCAGTGACCACTCTGGCCTTATCCCAGGATCTGGGAATGCAACAGAAAAGAAAGCAGTCTCTTGTCTGCCAAAGTTGACTTTCCAGTGTGGGAAAGAGAAAATAAACAAGCAAATAATATTATGTCAGGTGCTCAGGAGTGTTACAATGAAAAATATAGGTGGGTAAGGGGGAGACAGGGCAGACTAGATAGAGACATGGTTGCTGTTCTGCATCAGAGAATGTTTTCTGATAAGGAGACATTTAAGCAAGTGTCTGAATGATTTACTCTTCTTGTCTTGGTAACAGGCCATACCCATGGCACTTGGCAACTTCTTATTTAACATGGCAATTCCTATCAGTCTAAATTCCTGCATAACCCATCAGACTAGGCCTGAGTCCCAGTTTTAGAATTTGACAAATAAAAGACCTAAATCAACTCCATATCCATTCATTTTCTTATGAAAAGCCATTTCCTTGTGCCCCCCACTCATGGCTGCCATCAAATTCCAACCAGTCACTGAGTATCAGAGGTTCTATCAAAAATATGTCTTCTGTTTCAAATGTTAACCCTTAGCTCAAAAATGCAGTTTTCTTTTTCTTGACCGTCACAATGGCCTATTTACTGGGCTATCAGAGGTCAGTATGACTCCAATCCATACACCTTTCTACTAACAACACTGACTAAGAATAAATAAGAATAAATCTATATATAGCTATATAAATCTATAGAATAAATCTACATATCGGCTCTATTATCTAAAAAACAAAATCCAATTTAGTACATAAGAACTTTTACAATCTGTCCCAAATTTATCTTTCCAGACTTTTGTCTCAGTATATGACCTCAACCATGCTGAACTTTTGCTTGCCTCTAATCCCCTACCCTACTTCTCTACTGTTACTTACGCTTTCTTTCTATGCCGGAAATTGTCAACCTTCCTTTATCTTTCTACTCCATAGCCAAGACTTGAAAAATCCTGTCCTTCCTTCAACACCCACGTTGCTCAACCACATTCTAATCATACCTCTATAATTTCACTTACCACATCATAATCTAATTTCCACCTGAATGTCTGTCTTCTCTGATGTCTGTCTTCTCTTCTCTCGTTAGCTCCTGGAGAGCACACCAGGGGACTCCAACCACCCAGCAAAGGATATGACGCATTCTGGTGTTTTAGACAGAGCTACCAAGTATGTGTGCTGATTTTGGAGGACACAACACAGCACACGTCAGAGAGGAGACTTCCTATCATACATGTCATAGACTTGTATCTTTATTACTTCAATTTTACAACAGATAAAAACAAAGTTTTGATCTAATGAAATCAGTATATTATGACGTTTCCTCAAAAGATGGAAGTAGGGTGTCTTTCTAATTTACACAAAGGAACTACTAAGAGTGCTTTGTCTTTAAGTATATGGTTGCTGCAAGAAGTCACTCCTCTGCCCACCCCCTCTGGATAGCCCTTAGCCTCGCCAGGCCTCACGTCACACTTCCAGAGACGAGGAGGATCGAGTGGCAGAGAGAAGTAGTTGGCATCATATCTGGCCCAACTTAAATTGAAACATTTCAAACTCAGTAATTTAAAGGACCCGCTCTCATGGTAAATCAATTTGTTACCACATATTGAGTGCATATATTCTTCAGATTATAAAAGCCACTGTAAGGGAGATAAACCATTAGACCCAATTTCTGCCTCTAAGGAACTTATAGTCCAATTGAGAAAACTAACCACATACAGCCACTGTATAAAAAAATCATATGAAAAATATGAATGTTAAATTAGTAAAGCCCAGATTATATCTGGGTTACTCTGTAACATTGGGCAAGTCCCTTAAACTCACCGAACCTGGATTTTTTTTTTTTTTTGGAAAATTGGAATAAGAAAATCTATCTTCTGACATCACCAAGTTTTTCCAAGATGAAACAATATAATACATATAAATGTTTTACAGAATTTAAAGAGCTGCACAAAAGTATGGAACTGAATCGTAATTTCTATTAAACAAGGAAAGTGTTCGAGTGTGGTCCCGCTGAGATGAAAGTGAGAAGAGGCTGGACCCCCATCCCTTGTCCCTTCCTGTCCTCCCTGCTCCTCCTCCTGCCCGTTACTGAATCACCCGCCTCACCTTCTCACCTCTGTGTGCGCCAAGATGGCTCTGCTCAGGGCCATAAGAAGTGAAAGAAATCAAAGGGCATGAAAAGGAGAAAGAGAAGTAGAAAAGGCAAAGAGATCTGTGTTCTTCTTACCACTATGATAATGTTCTCCGTAAAACATTTTCTTTAACAGGCTCCTGACAAGTCTGAGATCTTTGAGTTTTCTATCACTCTAGTGACTGAGAACAAATAACCCTTACTAACAGTGGCTTTCTCTGGGGGGTGAGATTAGAGGCATCTCTCGTTTCTTATATGATCTATATCCAAATGTTGTTAAAATGGACATGACTTGCTCATACACTCTGTGAGAGAAGATAGGTCAAGTTGAAGAGGGGAAAACCTAGGCCCCTGGATTAATTAAAACACAGAGTGAAGAAAAATTTCACGTTTAGAAAATCATGCTGTCTCCAGAATCGCAGTGACTAACAAATATTTCAAGAAGACAATGCCATAATGATGCTCCTTTCAGAGGAAAAACCTTATTTATAATGTGGTTTGGTGATTGGGTTGGTCTGTGCCATATTTATTCTCCTTTTTTCTCTATCTACAGGCACTGCTTTGTTATCCGTGGTTGCTTTTCCCTTGGAAGATTTCTATATAGGCACTCACCACGTGATTAACCATATACCAAAGGAGGAGCAGAAGAGGCTGTTCTACACAGCCCTGTTGGCCATCTGCCTTGGTGCAGGAGGAATGAGAGCCATCATTTGTCCACCGGGTGCCTACAACCTTCAGGAGCGTGGATCCCAGAAACAAATGTCTTTTTTTAACTGGTAAGTTGTACTGGCTAGGAGTGAAATGAGCCTTATGACATTCCTCTCCCTTCTGGGATTTCTCATTGTTTGCTCTCTCGTCCCATTTTGATGGTAGTAATTCGGTGTTTGTCATTGACTGGCCTGGGTCAAGTGACGACGTGACAGTGCCTGGGACAGGATTCAGCCAGTAAGTGCGGGGGGCCTATGAGTCAGGCACAGACACTGGCTTGTCATACTGAATAGAAGGTGGCTTTGGAGCCAAATAGGCCTCGACTCTACCTAACACGAGCTATCTGATCTTCTCTATAAGTCTCAGTTTAATCATTTGTGAAGGGCTATCAATAATACCTCTTCTTGGGTTTTATTAGAGGCAATAATGTGTGTCTTGCAGGCAGAGAATCTGGCACATAGTAGGGGATCATAAATGGTAGCTGTTATTAGTTCTGTCTACACCGTAAGAGGCAAATTTGGCAGAGATTATAAATTCACAGGACAGTGCAGAGAGAAGACAAAAAAAAAGGACAGAAAAAGTATTTTACAATTTGTTGAAACATCAGCCAGCACTTCTGTTTGGCATCCACTTCACCCTTAACACCTAAAAGAGTTTATATTCCATGAAAATCAAACTGCCTTTCTGTGAATCTTTTTCCTCCCAGTGAGTTCTTACACAGTTTTATGTGGTTTTAAGGAACCAATTTTTATTATCAAATACGAATTCAAAAAAAAAATTTCAATCTTAAGGTAGAGTATTTTGTTGTTATTATTCATCAGCGAATGTCAAGTAGATCTGAGAATATTCTTTTGTTCCCTCTTTTCTGTGAAATGAGTTGTCAACATTTTTCTAAATATTCTGTATTTCCAGCAATGTTAGCAATGAAAGAAATCAAGGCACAGACAGAATCAGACAAAACGTTTAAAGAAAATTCATATTTAAAGCATTAAATGAAAAAAATGTAGCATAAATAATCTCTGTATATATAACTACCCAAGGCAGTCAGTTTCTTTCTTTCCTTTTCTTTCTCTCTCCCTCTTTCTTGCTCTTTCTTTCAGAAAATAATGCAGTTTTACCAAAGGTGGAAGGGACTCTTTACTTCCTTATAGCAAATTCTGCCTCCTTGACCTGCCCAAAGGAGAAAGAAAAATCCTTCTTTTTTATTCTATTCGGAGGTTTTAATCCTTAATTAGCAACATCATTTTGATTAAATAAGACTCTGGAGGATTAAGACTGGAGAGCAATCAGTTGTTCTGAGAGATAGCTCTGGAGAATTTATTGTACTGTGGTCTTAGTCATTCAGAGTTGTGTTTAATCAAAGTGACATTTCTCAGTGTTGATTACAAAGGAGACATTATATGAATGAAATATTTCCTTTGGGAAAGGGAGGGACTCCCAATGGGTTTGTACTTTAGGTCTTTAAAGGGGGGATGGGGAGTGGGGTGAAAATGAATTTCTGCAGCAGTGAGGAGCCAGGCCAAATTTAGGATGAGCACATTTCAATGTGTCTTATTATTTCCTAATTTCACTAAAATCTCTAATAAAAAGAATCATGCAGGGGTGCCTGGATGGCTCAGTTGGTTGAACATCTGACTCTTGGTTTTCAGCTCCAGGGTCAAGAGATCTAGCCCACATCAGCTCCCTGTTCAGTGGGGAGTCTGTTGAGATTCTCTCTCTCCCTCTCCCTCTGCCCCTTTCCAACACACTTGTGTGCTTTCTCCTCTCTCTCTCTAAAAAATAAATAAATAAATCTCTAAAAAAAGAAAAGAATCATGCAGAATTTTTAAAACCTAACATTAAAGCACCTAGAAATGTAGGGCACCTGAGTGGCTCAGTCGGTTAAGCATCTGCTTTCAGCTCAGGCCATGATCCCAGGGTCCTGGGATTGAGCCCCATGGAATCCCACATCGGGCTCCCTGATCAGTGGGGAGTCAGCTTCTCCCTCTGCCCCTCCTTCTGCTTGTGCTCTTTGTCTCTCAAATAAATAAATGGAATCTAAAAAAAAAAAAAAGGGCGCCTGGGTGGCTCAGTTCGTTGAGCGACTGCCTTCGGCTCAGGTCATGATCCTGGAGTCCCGGGATCGAGTCCCTCATCGGGCTCCCTGCTCAGCAGGGAGTCTGCTTCTCCCTCTGACCCTCTTCCCTCTCGTGCTCTCTATCTCTCATTCTCTCTCTCTCAAATAAATAAATAAAATCTTTAAAAAATAAATAAATAATTAATTAATTAATTAATTTTAAAAAAAAGCACCTAGAATTGTGCATGAGGAATCAAGGTCTTACTCTTTCATGTGCTAAAGGACTCTCTGGATAGTAAGCTTCTTGAAGGCTGAATCTGGTTGTTTCTGTTTTTGGCGGGGGTGGGGTTAAGTTTATAGTACCAGGCTATAGGGAAACTGCTATGGGCAGCTGCTTTTTGTAATTTATGGAAAAGAATATTAACTCTATTGCTGTATGTACTGCAGGGTGGGTGGCAAGATGGACAGAGACCCTACGGGGCAGCCAGAAAGCTGAAAGGATCCTGACTCTGTCACAGGAGTTTTCTACTTGTTGGCAAGTCCCTTGACCTCTCTGGGTACCAGTCCCTCATCCACAAAATGGGAATAAACTGGACGGCGGTTTATAGCTTATATATAAAGTATCCTAGCACATCATAGGTATTCAAATTAGGGTAGCTATTGTTATTAAATGACAAATCAGCTAAAATCATTGTCTAAATTCTGGGCAAGAGGGAACACATTTAAGAGGAGCCCATCTTTGAATGGGCAGTGCCTTAATTTAAAATCTATTTCTCCATGTCAAAAATGCCTCTAGAAAATACAAGCTTGGTTAATATAATGAATTTCAGTAGTGTCTTTAAAAAACAGCATACCACTTGAATCTGTAACCACTTGAAGGCTGCATCCAGTTCTATTTTCAGCACAGATGTCAGATGTTCCTAGTTATAGGACCTTTAATGAGATGTGTCATTGCATCTATACCACCTAAAGCTTCCCAGTGATTATGTTAAATAGTATAGACTGGAAGTCTCGAACATTGAAAGCACCACTTCCGAGTAGAGCTGCCAAATGTAGGTGAGAAAACCACTCCCAGCCAACATTACCATCTGGTACTGGATCTTCCTCAACTATGTACCTTATTGAAATAATAAAACTAAACTCCCTAAAATCAAGAGGCATAATAATCTTCCAACATCCTTGTGCCATTATCTAGATTAGAACCTGGCTCTTCCAGCATTTTCCAAAATCTGAGGTGTGCAATTAAGAGTCACCACACTGGAGATTATCTAGGTAAATACACCTGTGCAGTATCTTTTCTGGAAGCAAAAAGAAAGGTGGATAATTAAGTCTGTCTATAACCATAATTTTAAATTCTACTGCAATTAACTTCAAATCTTGCTTCCACATTTCTCTACTTACTTCACCTGGTAATTTGCATCCAATCTGCATATCATAGTCTGTTCCTAACTAGTTACCAGAGTGAATTATACATGATTTAAAAGTCCAAATAGAATATTGGTAGAGTTCTTGAAAAAAATCTGGAGACTAACTTATTCTATCCCAGAAATTTTGAATATCTGGTACTCAGACTGACTCTACATAATATTTGTCTCACACTAAAATATTCTGATGTTAATACTTACTTGAATTTAATAGCTTTTTCTTAAGGAAACACTAAAGGTAAAAATTTATTATCCCACGGAATGTTTTTTCAGAAGCTGTTTTAATATTCACTTGAGTGTTGCTTGAAAGCAGTGAGTCTCAATCTTAGATGGACATAAAAGCCAACTGAGGGCTCTTAAAAATACTGATTCCTGGGCCTTGGCATCAAAGGTTCCATATATATTGGTTTGAGGCGAGATCCAGAGACCAGGAATATTTTTTTTTTTTTTTAGCTGCCTAAGTAGTCGGGTTTAAGAACTACTACTCTCAAGCAGTTGTCTGATTTTGAGAATCACTTAAGGGTTTTATTTTAAAATGTTTCCTAGACCCCACCCACAACTTCCAAGATCAGAATTTTCTGGAAGCATAGCTGGGAAATGTATACCACTTTTACCACGTGCTTCAGAATTTTGAAAACAATTCCAGAGATATAAGGAAAGGGGATACTAAGGTGGTCTAGAGATAACTTTGAAAAGAAATGGAAGTGAACATTGTTTGAGTGCACATACCAGATGCTAGGCAACTTTGAAAAGTTTTGACGATTCATAGCTATTTTTCACCATACTTAGAAATCTATCTGATTGAGAAATTCTACCTAATCCTTGAGAAAAGAAATGAAATATGAATCTACTTAATTCTGCAATAGTAAAATCATAATTTGTAAGGTACATTTCAGCCAACAAAATGAAAGCAGTTCATGGAATAATTGTATTAATACTCAAAATATCATCTGAGTTGCATACTGAGGAATAGCCTGTAAATAGCTTTAACAAAAAAAAAAAATCACTAAACCTTCCAAAATTCTATTTGCATGGGTTCTAGCCAAGCTTAACAAATGCTTCCCACCCACTCTAATAACAACAGACACCTCCTTCTTTACTTTTGCCAAAGTTGTAAGCTTCCGGGAAATACACTCAGAATTCCTCTCCAACATATAATTGTGGAAACCAAAGAAAATTGAGGAAAAAAAGAAAGAAAGGCAAATTTCTTACATGTCCTACTGTTCCTTCTTTTTCTTAAGCCCTGCTTGGTCGCTTTTCAACTTGGTAGGTACATGACTAGGGACTTATTTTCATCAGTAAACATGCAGTGGTCTAAAAATCTTAAATAAAGGAGGGCGCCTGGGTGGCTCAGTTGGTTAAGCGACTGCCTTTGGCTCAGGTCATGGTCCTGGAGTCCCAGGATCGAGTCCCACATCGGGCTCCCTGCTCAGCGGGGAGTCTGCTTCTCCCTCTAACCCTCTTCCCTCTCGTGCTCTCTCATTCTCTCTCTCTCAAATAAATAAATAAAATCTTTAAAAAAAATAAAAATAAAAATCTTAAATAAAGGAAATAAGAAAATGATATACAGGAACAACTGTTAGGGTTA